ACAGTTTTAATGACATAGCTAATGCATTCTTACAACAAAAAGCAATAAAACAAAAAACAACATCTAAAATGACCTGTGAACCTTGAATCTATGATAAAAGAAGTGAACGATGGTGGTATTGAATATGAAGACAATCATGTTCAGTAAAATTAGGGTGAAGCAGTCATTTTTGAAAATAATATCAAGTCATTTGCTTTAATTAGTTTTTGATTCAACGGATTTTATATATTGCAACATAAATCATATTCTAGAAATATAAAGATCCACTGAAACTATTTATGAGAAGGAAACTATAAGTCGTAATTAACGGATGGTTTATAAGGGATTCTTTTAATTGGGTAATAGTATGTACCATTATTAATTATAAATATTTCCTCAAATGATCTTCATCTCTCACACTACTGTTTTCTGAATTATTTTAAAAAATTGCATGCTTCCTATCTGGTGTATAATTTGAGTGAATTTGTTGCTCCCTTTGTTTGTTCATTCATTCACTGGTCCTTCCATCACTCATTCGGCATTTATTGGGTAATTACTTAACCCATGTGCATTCAATCACAGTTTTCATGAAGGACATAGAAGAACTTCACGCAGACCTCCCTTGCTAGCTAAGCACCTTGTGATGGTTACTTTCATATGTCCACCTGACTGGGCCATCGGGTGCTCGGGTAGTTGGTTCAACAGTATTCTAGGTATTTCTGTGAGGCTGTTTTTGGAAGTTTAACATTTAAATTGTCAGACTGAGTAAAGTAGAAAGCCTCCTTTAATGTGGGCTTCATCTAATTAGTAGAAGGCCTGAGTAGAACAAAAAAGGCTGATCCTTCCCCAAGTAAGAGAGAATTTTTCCTGCCTGATGGCCCGAGTAGGCTCTCAGCTTCTTCCCAGTCGTTAGACTTACACTGAAGTATCAGCTCTTCTGGAGGATGCCAGTCTGTGATTCACAGAGAAAAAAGATAATTGTGGAATCTGAGCAACTCGGTATAAACTGATTCATGTTTGATTTAGGATTAAATCATTGAACGGGTGTGCCCAGAAGTTCAACATACAGAATTAGGCTCAGGCAGCTGCCGAAACCACAAGTGAGTAATGTAATTTATGACTCACATCTCAGTGTGTCTACTCTTGTCATATTCCATTTCTTTTTCACCTTATTTCATAGAAAGATCTCCATGATCCACTAATTTATAAATAGCTTTTCTTTTTATATGCTCTCTCTCTCTCTGTATCTGTGTGAACTGGACTCATAGAGCATTACAGCCCCACCCTGAAAGATACCAGAGAAGAAAAATGCTCTTGTCATTGGTACAGATCAAGAAGGCTATCTCATGGCCTACTTTGCCTGGTTGGAGATATCTTCCAGAGTCAAAGGTCTACACTAATGGATAGTGGCTAATAGATTGAAGTAATTGAAACTATAGTATTGATGACAAGGAAGTTTGGGGGAGGGAAAAAAGTATATGGTTAAAGAACTGTTCATTATAGATTCATATATATATATATGAATATATATATATTTCTCCAAGCAAATGCTCATCAAATGATAGCCAGTAGGGGAGGAAAAAAAACAGAAAAAAAAACCTCTTCAATAATCATTTGACAAATGATTAATGAGAAAATACATGAATGAGACTTTTCTCCAGCTACCTCACTTCTTGCTAAATGGACTAATGAACAAATCAGACAGTAACAATGGAAGCAATACCTAGGTTTATGATGATTTTTTCTTCATCAAGCCTGAATTGACTATCATTACAACTTGGTTCACAAGGAGATAGTTATTAGTAACCCAGAGCTTTTCACCTGGTCTGATGCCTTAGCGGTGTCAGCCTACCTACCAATGACAGGGTGATTATATTTTTAATATCTTCCTCCATGGAAGGAGCCCAATTAGTCTGTATCGGAATATGGATTTGTCATAGAGGTAGAGTTTCCTTTGGTCTCTACACCATTCTGTGATCATTTGCATCTTTATTGAATTCTCGTTCATTTATCTATATCACTATGTATCTTTGGTCAGTAAACTGTTCTTAAAGCAAGAAAAGAAAGCTTATGCTTATAAGAATATCAGTGTGTCGTATTTCTCATCACTTAAAAACAGCTGAAAGAATAGTAGAATATTCTTAAAGAATAGTCAGTTAAGATGCTATAAGAGGGACAATACCTTTGGGTTTGGGATATGGTATAGGCTCTGAACAACATATCTATATGCAGTGCTATTTTCCCCAGAGTTGGAAATATTGACCCACCAAGAGAGACCAGGAATTAGAAGCTGGACTGGCAGTTTCCAATCGGAATTCCTGCCCAACTTTCAAAATATTGATTTCCTTACACATAACATTCAGAGTTACAATATTTTAGAGATTTTAAAATAGTAGAGAAAAAAAGAACCTCCATCAGAGAATCCCAAACATATTTCTGTTGAATTTATAACTGGGACTGCTAAATAGCTATTTAATAAGAATTTTATAGATAAACATAATCAATTGGATAGATGATAGATAGATGGATAGATAGATAGATTTATTCTAAGAATTGACTCATGCAATTTCAGGTCAAGAAACCCTACAATCTGCCAGCTGCCTACTGAAGAATCAGGAAAGCCAGTATTACAATTCAGTTCAAATACAAAGGCTTGAGAACCAGGGGAGCCGATGGTATAAATCTGTCAGTCTGATGCCAAATTCCTGAGAATCAGGAGCTTTGATGTCCAAGGCCAAGAAAAAAATAGAAGTCAAGAAAAGAGAGAATTTACCCTTCCTTCACCTCTTTGTTCTATCCAGGCCCTAAAAGGATTGGATGTTGCTCACACATTGGTGGATGTGGGTCTTCTTTTCTTGTGTCTACTGAATCAAATGGTAATCTCTTCCAGAAATACCCTTGACAGGCACACCCAGAAACAATGCTCTACCAGATATCTGGGAATCCTGTAGCCCAGTCAAACTGATACATAAAATTAACCATTAAAATAGCCCTTTTGGGCTTCTCATGTCATTGAGGAAAAAGAAAAGAGAGGTTCATCGTGTTGTCTAGAATGATTGCTCCTGATTAATAAACAGCAATACTATTACAAGATGTAACTATGAAAGATATGAGGCATCTCCCGAGAAATTTCATGCCCAGTGTCTGAAGTCAACACATGGTAACAGCTTTACAACATAGAGGTATTAACAGGGGTTTCCAGTCTTCAGGAAAGTATAGATGCCAAACCTATTACATAGCCCTGTCAATTGAGAAGCAGATGAAAGAAGAGTATATAAAACCAGAAATCAGGAAAAGTTAGTATAAATAGCAATTTTGGCCTAGTGAACAGTTGAAGAAATGAAAGTCATTGAAATAACCCCTGGGTTAGTTATATGAATTTACTTTTGCCAACATGCTCTTCCTCCTTTATTTATACAAGATGTATGGGTTGGAATTAATTTTATAAGTAAATATACAATTTATGCATTCTTGAGATAGATCTATGAATTAATCAGGAAAAGCCATTAATTAGAAATTTTAAACTTGGAGCTATATTCAGTAATGATTAAGCTGGGAATTTTGCCTTTTGGGGACAGATGGACATCTGTTTTACTTATATGTAGGCAGTTATAGTAAGTTATATTTAGGGGTATTGTTATTGTTGTTTTGATATTATTAGCCAAGGGTTGGGACTATGGCAGGCATCTATCTTGATGAGTGTGTAATCTGGGAAGACTGTAATTACCTACATATCTTGGTCACTCTACATTTTACTTTTTTTTTTAAGATTTTTTTTACAAGAGAGAGAGAGAGAGAGGAAGAGACCCAGGCAGAGGGAGAAGCAGACTCCCTGGGGGGACCCCGATGTGGGACTCAATCCTGGGATCCTGGGGTCACGCTCTGAGCCAAAGGCAGACGCTCCACCACTGAGCCATCCAGGGGCCCCTACGTTTTACTTTTCACATTTTACTTGCTTTTGCAATACAAGAATCTCACCCAAAACACTTCTCTACATTTGGGGAAAAAAATTCCTTTTCCTGTAATAAGGTCATATATGAAATTTAGATTCCACTGTTTGTATGCATCCAAGTGGCATTTTGATTAGTTTCATGGCAAAAGAGGTAGGGAACAGTGTATATCTTGAACAGATTTGCCAATTTTTACAAAGATCTGAAATGGTAGGCGTGGAAGAGCTTTCTGATTTGTAGTTTTCTGTTCGTGGCAGAGTTAATAGTTCTGTCAATTAGCCCATTCTAAAGTGAGGTGTGAAAAGTCATTTCTAGAATCTCAGTCTAGAATTTGTTTGCTCAGAATGAAAAGTTCTGGAGAAATATCTCTAATTTTCATGACTCCTTTCCACTGGAGTGGTTTGTCTTGGTAACGAGGATTCTGAGGAACAGTGGCCATATACGGCAATTTCAAGTTTTGCTTTGTTTTGTTTGTTTATTTGTTTATTTGAGAGAGAAAGCGAGGGCAGGTGTAGTAGGGAGGGGCAGAGGGAGAGGGAATCTCAAGCAGGTCCCATGCCCGGTGCAGAGCCCGACAAGGGGCTGAGACCATGACCCAAGCTGAAATCAAGAGTCATACACTTAACAGACTGATCCACCCAGGGGTCCCAACTTTTATTTATTTTTTTTTAAATCCCGGAGAATAATTTTATGTAAAATTAGTATCTTTAAAATTATGGTAATTAAAGGTAAGTCTAAGGTACGGGTCCTGTGGGAAAATAATTCAGCTAGGAAATTCAACCTGCAAAATGAAAAATAAGATCAATTTTACCATTTCTGTTAGTAAAGATTAATGAATACACTGGAATTCTCACTTTCACTCGGTTGTCAAGTAGGTACATTAGAAGACTTTATAGAGCAATTTGGACTAAATAGGTCATAGATGTTAAAAGTATCACAAAGTCGGTTTCTAGAAAGACCAAATGAAATCCTTACTCTGTGACATAATGCCATCATTAGTAGCAGGTTGCAAGAGTCTCAATGATAGGAAAATATGAGTACCTGATTAGGATTGCTTTTACGTGTCTTGTTCTTTGTGACCTTTTCTGTGTAGCAATATTAAAGGGCACTGGATGCTTTTTGCTGTGATGCTTAGTATCATTTCTCAAACACCATTATTGTTGGAACGGCCTATATTAAACGGCAGATGTGACATCGGTCTACCCAACAGCGTAGCTGATTTTTATGGTGACGCTAGAATGTGAAACGAGAGAAGCAAGATGATGTTACAAGATCAGAGTTTTTCTTTCGCAGATGATCCTTGGTACATTCCTCTAAATGTATTGGGAGGTGGAAATTGGAGCAGGATTTTCTTTTCCCCAGGTGGGCTGTGCCAGGTGGTGCCTCTACAACAAAGGGATCGGTGTAGAAAAAGGGCCCATGTAGAGTCCTGTGGTTAGTTCTACCAACTTCTGCTAAGACCATAGGGATTCATCAGTCAACAGAAACAAAGCAGAGAATAATCAGAAGGGATGTCGGATGGATGAGGTAACCTGGAGATGGAGCCCAGGATTACAGCATTGGCGGGGGAGGCACCTGGGGTGCTAACTGAGAATGCAGAGGGCCCTGTGGCCTGGAGGGCTGGCCAACAACACTGTCACGGTGGGACAGAGACTGTGTGACGTCCACATGACTGAGTGGAACTGAGAGATTCTTGAATTCTCAGGTGGGCATCTCTGGCTTTAGAAGTGTGCACTTTTAGATGCGTGTGGAGCAATGCAAACACCAACAGTCTAAACAAATAATCTTACTTACTATTTTAGAAAAATAACTATAGGTTAGAGCATTTAACTGCCAGTGATTCTGCTCCAAAATGCATGCATCTAAACTTTCTCCTAGGCAGTTATTACTACAGGACGAAAATAACGTTAAAGGGAGGTCAGAAACCATTGACTTAGGCTGGAAGAGTCCAAGTTGAAAAATAAAAAGCCTTTCCTCTTTGTTCCCTTTCACTATTTTTTATATTCCCCAAATGAATGAGACTATATAATGTTTGTCCTTCTTCAATTGACTTACTTCACTCAGCACTATACCCTCCAGTTCCATCCGCATCGAAGCAAATGGTGGGTATTTGTCGTTTCTAATGGCTGAGGAATATTCCATTGTATACATAGACCACGTCTTCTTTATCCATTCATCTTCTGATGGACACTGGAGAAAAAATTAGTGGGAAATATTAGAAAGGGAGACAAAACATGAGAGACTCCTAACTCTGGGAAACGAACAAGGGGTGGTGGAAAGGGAGGAGGGCAGGGGGATGGGGTGGCTGGGTGATGGGCACTGAGGGGGGCACTTGATGGGATGAGCACTGGGTGTTATTCTATATGTTGGCAAATTGAACACGAATAAAAAATAAATTAAAAAAATAAAAATAAAAAGCACAGCACTGAAGCATGAAACTTTCAGTAGTTAGAATGTACAATACACAATTTATTGCTTTGTGAATTATTTCTGGCTTGAGAAAATGCAGTAGGCCCCCTGTTTCCGCAGGAGATACACTCTGGGATCCCCAGGGGATGTCTGGCACCGTGGATCAGTATTGAATGTGTATATACTATTGTTTTCCCTTTACATACACACCTATGACCAACGTTTAATTTATAAATTAGGCAGTAATAATAAAACGGCAATTATAACAATATACTATGATACAAGTTATTTGAATGAGGCCCTCTTTCCCTCCATAAAAATAATTTTATTGTACAGCATTCACCCTTCTCATGATGATACGAGAGGGCAAAAGGCTTTCACGATGACATGAGATGAGGTAAGGGGAGCGACCCAGGCCCTGTGACCTAGCATTTGGCTACCATTAACCTTATCATTCGTCAGAGGAGGTCCATCTGCTCATGCAGGTAGTGGACTTCCAAGATGAAACCATAGGAAGCACAAGTGGGTTGTGCTACTGCGCACCTGACAATATAATATGCATTTGTGCGTTCTAAGAAACAGGGCACAACTGAAGCCTCCAGTTTACTCCTTCCAGATCACTTTCAGGGTCCCTACTTCCAGGTGACCTTTACTCTGCATCTGGCATTGGAGTTCTCACGCAAGTGGCTGTATTTGATCTGATACGAAGCTATCTCCAAAGAGCACAACATGTTAATTTGCATGAATTAAAATTGTATTAAAGACATTATACTTGATGATCATCTAGGACTTTTAAAACATCTAAAAAATAATTATCCATGTTATACAAGGCTCTTGTTCCTTCATTCTAATGACTCTCTACTGATGCGCCATGTGAATAATACAGTTTTTTTATGTATTCTCCTGACTGGAAATTCAGACGGTTTTCAATCTGTCAATATTACAAACAATGCTACGATGAACATTCTTGTACACATCTCTCTGGGCACCTGTGGCCATTTCTGGGGAAATAGAATTGCCGAGCTACATTATATGTGCATCTTCCACTCCACTGGAGAGTGTGAAATTGCTCTCCAGAGGAACCAGGCCAACTTACAAATCTGCTAGCACTGAATGGGGGTTCCCTTTGCCCCACACCTTACAATCAGTTATTGCAATTTTTTCCCCTCACTTTTGCCAATTTAATGAGTGTGAAATTATAGGTAATTATTGTTTTAATTTGCATTTTCCCAATTACTAATGAGTTTGAGCATTTTTGCATGATTATTGGCCTTGTGAGTCTCCTCTTACGGGATTTGCCTTAATTTATTGTGAGCTCAGCCAGGTATGCTAATGAATATTTGTTTTATTTAATTCAGAATTTTGTAGGGTTTTGCCACAGAAAATTTTTTGAGTATTTTGTTTGAGACACTGCTTTGAGATACTAATGCCTATTCTTCCCCTCGGAGATTCTAATTTAGTTGTTATGCAACCTGCCCACTAGGGTTTTTATAAACTCCTCAGGTCTTTTTAAGTACAGCAGCATTTGAGAACCTTTGGATTAAGTTGCTCCTAGATTGCTAATGTTTCAGAAAAATGAATACGTTGGTGCCATATTTTTTACCTTAACTGTTAGGGATTGAGTAGAAGATGAAGAAACAAATCATTCAATTGGCAAATGAAGTTGGAATACTCTGATTTATTTGATAAAATATCCTGTCACCTTTGGATAGATAGAGGATTTACCCAATAATACCAAGAGACATTTATTTTGTTTTCCCTATCATAGAAGAAATATTTAGGGAAGGCGAGAGAGATGCACTGGCCAACTGTTATTGTAAGAATATTGAATATTAGGGTTGGATAACTACATAAATAGACTTTATTCTAAAATTTGGACCTTCTATGGAGAAAGTACTTTTGAGAAATGGTATGTTTCTTCACATGATTTGGCTGAGAGGGTAAACGTAAACTGGCCCTACTGGGCAGACATGCCCAAAGCCCGAGTCTCCAGAAAAGTTCTGGGGAGGAACACAAATGCACAGGAAATGGAAAAAGGATATTCTTAAAGGACCTACAGGGTGGTCCTCACTATGCTCTCGGTTCCCACCCTCTGGGTGAGTGTCCAGGGCCACAGGCCACTGCCTTGGGTTTGGGGATGTTATGGGAACTCCATTCACACTTAGACCATTGCTGTATGATTTTCTCAGTGTAGGGATGATGTTTAATAAATTTTATCCATTGTCAGTTTTAAAGGAGTTCATATCCTTTGCCTTTGGCAAGTTGAAATACCAGACACCTGACGTTAGCATGAACAACACTGGCTGTGAGAACGAAGAGCAAAGCTACATGTGGACACCAGGCCACTCACACACATTGACACGCAGGGAGGAGTGTAGCTTCTTGTGTAATTTGTTTATTTCTTTTCTCTTTGTCATTTTAGAAACTGGATGTGTGCTTTACTTATCTCATGGTATTAAGTACCCCGTGAGAATTTAATGAAAATTCTGGCTTGTGTGGTTTTATGTCATTCATTGCTTAACACTTTAAGATATATTACGTTAATACAGTCATACATTATCACATTAAAAATACAATGCATTGTATCATCTTTAATTAAAAAAAAACAAACAAACAAATAACTTGGGATGCCTGGGTGGCCCAGCGGTTTAGTGCCTGCCTTCAGCCCAGGGCGTGATCCTGGAGACCCGGAATCGAGTCCCGCGTTGGGCTCCCTGCATAGAGCCTGCTTCTCCCTCTGCCTGTGTCTCTACCTCTCTCTCTCTCTCTCTCATGAAAAAAATTAATAAAGTCTTAAAAAAAAACTCGGGGCTAATTATAAACTTACAAAAAAGTTGCAGCAGTAATATGACGTGTTTTGTTACATTCCTCATCACGATTTCCCTTCATATTAATGACATACATGACCATAGTACAATTATCAAGAAAAGAAAATTAGCATTGCTAAAACATTATGAGCTAAACTGTGGACCTCTTCAAATTTCACAAGTTTTCCATTAATGTCCTTTTTCTCTCCTAGGATTCTATCCAGAAGCTCACATTTCCTTTAATTATTTATCCTTAGTTTCCTCCAGCACGGAACAGTTCCTTAACCTTTCCTTGTGTCTCCTTATCTTGGCTGATGCTTTTGAAGACTACCTATCAGTTATTTTGTAAAATGTCTCTCAGCTAGGAGTTGTCCCATATGTCCTGCTAGTTGGAATGAGGTTATGCATGTTGGGCAAGAATACTACAAAATTGATGGCATGTCCTCAGTGCCTCATATCAAGTTTTTATGATGTCAGTGAGCCCATTAATGAGGAACATAGCTTGTTAAAATATATGAAGGCTGAGGTGATAGATGGAAATTAGTGAAAGGTGCAGGAGCATTGGACTTGGCACCCCATGAGAGCGTGGAGACTGTGGCTGAGGCAATGTTGATAACCCCGCGACGAACCTGATGGTGAACAGTAGGTAACATCGCCCGCCTGTCACCAGTGCACCTGCCAGCAGCAGTGTCACTCACCATAAAACAAGGGAGGGGAGTAAGGGCTTCAAATATATTTTTCAACTGCTTTGTGGAAATACAAGTCAGCCAAAAAAAAAAAATCCACATCTCTCGTGCAAGAAAATTCCCAGCAACAACCACACGAAACTATCATTCTTGAAGTCAGACTTCAAAATCGATCACGTCGATTGTGAAGGAAAACGCACCAGGATGTTCTGCAACTTAAAAGTCTTGGCTGGGAAGGAAAAGTACAAGGAAAAGTACAAACAGGCAGGCAGATTGCTTACGGCGACAATTCAGATGTGTTTCGGAATTGCACTGGGAGGTGAAATCCATAATTGGAGAAATTTCATGATAGTCTGCATTGCAGTTTAAATGAACAGATTTCAGTTCAAAGCCCAATAGACACACTGACAAATAGCATTCTCAAATGACATATTTTACTATACTTAAGCACAGACTTCATTAGTTTGGACACAAATTAGTTTTCTTCTCCTTTTTCATTTTTTTGTTCTCTTACTAGGCTACTTACTTCCCTTCTTAACCATGAAGTTACATAAAGTAAATAATTTTATGATTGTATTGCCTTTGTAAAACTATATCATAACTCTCATTCTATCTGTTTAACCAGTTCCGAAATTTTCCTAGCAGGTAGAAATTTTTATGAGTCCATTAATGCTCAATATAATTAACATAAGATGATAGTGTTTCTCTTAACGGAATAAAACCTCAAGCATTAGCTTAAAATATAAATAGTATGCATTTGTGATTTTGCTGAGGATAATTTTAAGTCATAAAAATTTCTTCTTGCTACATGTATCCTTTTAGCAGCTGCAAAATTATCATTTATCATTTTGCTTGTCCTTCATAGGTTACATATACTAACAAGAACTGATAGTAACACAAAGCAATTTAAGAAGCTTTTTTTTCTTTAAAGAAAAACCAAGAAGTATAATAGTATTTTAGTGTTGAAAAATAATGCATGAAAGTACACTAGAAATGTTTGATACAAAAATAAAAAGCATTCAGAGACAAATAACTGTATTTGATTCCAAGCTGACTGTGGCCATTTTGACTTAATAAATGAATAAATAAATTGGATAGCAACATTAGATATGAAAGTAATTTGTAATAAGAGTATTAAAGCATTGTTTTATTGAGGTATAATGGTTAAATAAATGTATAAGATACTTAAGGTGCTCCAAATTTCTGTTCAAAGTGCACAATGTTATGAGTTGATGTATGTGTACGTTATGAAAGTATTCCTCCCATTGAAGAGTTAATTAATGCATTCATCACCTCATCTATTTTTCCTTTTATTTTATTTTTGGTGAGAATATTTAATTAAGTTCGACCTTCTTATCAAATTTTAGTTATACAATATCGTCTTATCAACTAAAGCCACCATGCTATGCCTTATCCTCCAATCTTAATCATCGTATACCTGAAAGTTTGTACTGTTATCAGACCCCCCTATCTCCCCCACTCTTCATTCCCTGACAACCATTGTTACACTCTCTGTTTTTGTGTTCAACCTTTTTTTAATTATTTTTTTCTTTCTTTCTCTCTTTCTTTCTTTCTTCTTCTTTTTCTTTCTTCCTTCTTTCTTTCTTTCTTTCTTTCTTTCTTTCTTTCTTTCTTTCTTTCTTTCTTTCTTTCTTTCTTTCTTTCTTTCTTTCCTTCTTTCAATTTCACATGTGAGTGATACCACGAAGTATCTGTCTTTCTCTGCCTGGCTTATTTCATTATTTTGTTTTGCCAATACCTTCCAGTTTTACCCGTGGGGTCATAAATGCCAGGATTTCCTTCCTTTTTAAGGCTGAACGGTATTGCATTATGTATGTACATATAGATGAGTAGATAGAAATGTATATAATATGAATATGTGTGTGTATATATGTATATATATGTATATATATGTTAAATATATATCACATTTTCTTTATACATTTATTCCTTGATAGATACATAGGTTGTTTCTATACCTCGATTACTGTGAATATTACTTCAATAAACATGAAAGAACAAATTTCCCTTTGAGATCATATGGAAGTCCTATTTTTAATTTCTTGAGTGAACTCCATACTGGTTTCTATAGTGGTTGCACCAGTTTATATTCCCAGCAACCTTGTGTAAGGGACTTTCTTGTCGTCATCCTCCCCAGTATTTGTTATATCTTCTTTTTTTTTTAAGATTTATTTATTAGAGACAGAGAGAGAGAGAGAGAGCAGGAGCAGGAGAAGCAGAGGAAGAGGGAGAGAGAATCTCAAGCAGACTCTGAGCTAAGCTCACCTCGGGGCTCAGTCCATGACCCTGAGGTCACAACCTCAGCCAAAAACCGAGAGTCAGTCGCTTACCTGGCTGTGCCACCCAGGAGCCCTGTTTTACCTTCTTGATAATAGACATTCTAACAGAACACCTTTTTATATACCCATTACCCATTGGCCATGGAAAATATCTTTTTAAGAAAAAATTCAAGTCTGCATCCACTTTCCTTTTTTAAAATTTAATGAAAATTTATTACAGTAAGTTTGATAATATAGTTAAAATAGAAAAGGATCCGAGATCAGCTCCTTCTGCCATGAATTGGCAAATCACGAGGAGATTAAATATCAAAAAAAAAAATTACCTTCTTGCTTCAAATATGTAGAAAGGTAAAGAGAAAAATAGGAAATAATTGTTTTCCTACCTTGGATAACAGGCTGCACAAGATTAGCCTTCAGAAGAGGAAACCAATTGAAGGAAACCCCAGTATCACGCGTGGAGCAATTCTAAAGCCTCAATGCAGGGAAAACCCAGAGCCTACAAACCTCACTTAGCTGGAGGGAAAGACACAGAGACGTCAGACGTCATGGATAGTGAAGGAACTGGAATAAACTGGGCTGAATATTCAAAAGGCCCTTTGTCCATTTTTCTACATGGGCTCTTTGTATTTTGGAGATTGTTTTGTTTGTTCACTTGTTTTGAGTTGTGAGAGTCTTTGTACATTTTGGATAGTAATGCCTTATCAAATAATGTGGTTTGCAAATATTTTCTTTCCTTCTATAGCTCGCTTTTCATTTTGTGGGTGATTTTCTTTTGTAGGCAGAAATTTTTTTGTCTGCTGCGGTCCCATATGTTTATTTTTGCTTTTGTTACCTTCACTTCTGGTGTCATATCAAATATATATATATATCATTTCCAAGACCATTGTCTAGGAGCTTAACCACTGTGTTTTCTTCTAGGAGTTTTATAGTTTCAGATTTTATGTTCAAACCTTTAATCTAGTTGATTGATTTTTCTATAATGGTGTAAGAAAGGGGTCCAGTTTCACTCTTCACAGGCGGCTCTTCAGTTTTCCCATCGCCATTTATTAAAGAGACAATCCTTTTCCCATTGTATATTCTGGGGTCCTTTGCTGAAAACCAGTTGCCCATGTATGTGTGGGTTTATTTATGGTTTATTTATGGGCTCTCAATTCTGTTCCATTAATATATGTATCTGTTTTAAGCCCATGCCATACTGTTTTTGAATGCTGTAACTTTCTAATATAAAATCAGGACATGTGATGCCTCCAGTTTTGTTCTTTGGAAGGATTGTATTAGTTATTTGGGGATCTTCTGTGGTTGCTTCAGATTTTAGTATTTTTTTTCCCTGTAAAAAATGCCACTGGTGTTTTGATAGGTATTACATTGAATCTGTAGATCACTTCGAGTATTACAGTCATTTTAACAATATTAATTCTTCCAGTGCATGAGCATGGAATAGTTTTCCATATATTTGTCTTCTTCCATTTCTTTCATTAGTCTCTTGGAATTTTCAGTGTACAGATCTTTCATTTCCTTGGGTAAATTTATTTCTAAGTATTATTCATCATGATACTATTGCAATGGTATTGTTTTCTAAATTTTTTTCTGATAGTTTGTTCTGAGTGTATAAAATAACAACTGATCTTTGCACATTGATTCTTGTATCCTTCGAATTTATTTAATCTATTTATTATTTCTGAAGTTCTTTTGGTAGAGTCTGTAGGGCTTTATATATATGATGTCATGCCATCTGCAAATACAGACATTTTCTATACCTTCTCTTTTGAGCTGGATACCTTTTATTTTTATTTTATTATTTATTTATTATTTATTTATTTTTTGCCATAGTGCTCTGTTTGGGGCTTCCAGTACTATGTTGGATAAAAGTGACAAAGCTGGGCATCCTTGTTTTGTTATTGAGTCAACAGCATATTTGGTATTTTTCTATACCTATCATTTCTGTCTATTTGTCTATCTCTCCATCCCCTCTCTTTGTCTCTCTCTTTCTGTTGGAGTCCTGTGACTGTCTTTTTTTTTTTTTTTCATTCAAATTGTGGTTTTCCTGGTTCTTGATGAGTGACTTTTGTTTGAAACCTAGACATATTCAGTATTATATGAGTCTATGTTTATTTAAACTTTTCTTTGCTTTTAAATCACTTTCTCTGACATCACTCCTGCCAGGAAGAGGAGCTCATGGATACTAGGCATGGGTAGAAGTCTAGATTCCCCACCTGATCTCCATTGAAACTAGATGGGGCAGGGGCTCCTTGTTACTGCTTGGCGGGGGTGAGAGTTTCAGGTCTTCTCTGAAGATTAGTTATTCATTTATTCATTTAAGAGAGACAGAGCACACAAATGAGGGAGGGAAGGGGCTGAGGAAAGGGGAGAAGCAGGCTCCCCACTGAACAGGGAGCCCGGTATGGGGCTCCAACCCAGGACCCTGGGATCATGACCTGAGTTGAAGGCTAATGCTTCACACCTGAGCCTGCCAGGAGCCCCTCTTTGGATAACAATCTGCTTGGGAGCAGTAGGAGTACCTCCTTATTGGATTATTGATCCATCTTTGACCTCCACTGACACCAACTTCAGGGCAGCCTCGTTACTGCTGGGTAGGAGGAAGGTTCTCACTCTCCATTGGGCCTCTTCTGACACTATCCCAATGGGCAGGTTGAGTTGCCCTATCACAGTCGAACAAATGTGAACATCTAGGCTCACTACTTGGCTTTTGCTGGCATGAATGGAGAGGGACCACCATTTTTTCTGTCGTATTTTCCTGGAGTGGAATAGTCACTGTCTGAAAGGCTTCTGTCTTGTTAGACAGCTCTTTCCTTTGTCTTCAGACTCCCCCTCACCCCCAACACACCTGCTGGTATTTCTGGTTTGCTGGCTTCTTTAGCTTTAAATCTGGCATATATTAGGCAGAAAGAAAACCCATACAGCCCACGCACGATATGTTTTTCATTGGGCCCTGAGATCCCTGGGTCCTCTGCCCTCTCTAAAACTTCCGGTCTGAAAAATAAATAAATAAATAAATAAATAAATAAATAAACCTTCCAGTCTTCCTATGTTTGTTTTACATATGACATCCACAGTTTTTAGTTATACTTGTTGGGAGGAATAGAAAAACTTGTGTATACTCCATCTCTCCTTGCAAACAGAAGTTGAATAAAATTTATATTTAATTTAGACTGTATTGCTCAAGGTTGCCAACTGTTTTAAGTACTTTCACATGAGATAAATCTCTGAATGGCAAAAGATCAAGCAAGCAAAAAAAAACTCCCAACCATTTTCTTGGTCACTCTCTATTTTGTTATTAAATATTTTAAGGATTCCAGTAAGATCACTTATATCATCTAAATGGCAATAGCACACAATATGCTGAAAACAACACCTGAATGACAGTGTCATTATCCATCCTTTCTCTTTGCACAAATCCTTTTCCTGTCTCTGTATATTTTCCAAATTATGAATAAAATCTATTTCATCCATGGGTAAAGTGCGGATGTCAGGGCCAATCCATTTATAAAATATTAATAAGTTATTTTCTAAACTTTAACAAATATTAATTTATGTTATAACATTTTTTTCAACAACCAAGTGAATCTGACGTTCTCCATTGGCATGAACTCCTTCTTTAAAAACTCCTGTTTAGTTTGGAGGAAAAACAGGCTAGAACCAAGCAAAATTAGAGTTAAGTTGAAAAGAAAAATAGGTGATCTTGTGAAGGGGAAATGTTGTCAACTGTTTAGGGTGTTTAGTCAGAAAGTGAGAGAAGTTTTGGTGATAGGCATTGCTATGCAGAACAAACAGAAGAAAGCTCAATAACCTGCCAGGAGCTGAGAAGAGCAAAGAAAAATTTTCACACCTTTCTGATAAAACAGTGAGTTAATTAAATACAATCAATCTACTGGCAAATTAAAAAAAAAAGAATTGCAAAGATTGTATTAATGCAAGAGCTTTTCAGTAGTGAGTAGTCCTTTCCAATTGAAGAAAATGTAGAAAGCCAAGGAGACTTGGCTTGATCTTAGGGAGGGGAAGAGAGAGCTGATCAACCTCGGGTGACTTTGAATATTACATTCCAGTTTCCTGTTTTGTTTGTGTGTTCATTTTATTTTATTATTTTATTTTATTTATTTATTCATGAGAGAAGCAAAGAGAGAGGCAGAGACACAGGCAGAGGGAGAAGCAGGATCCATGCAGGGAGCCTGATGTGGGACTCGATCCCTGGACCCCAGGGTCACGACGTGAGCCAAAGGCAGACACTCAACCACTGAGCCACCCAGGTGCCCCTATTTGTATGGTTTTGACCATAGTTTCTTTATGACTAAAATGTGGGTGTCCTACAACACACTCATCCTGTAGTGTCTATTTCTTTTGTGCACATAGATTCACAGAAAGTTTTTCAGTAAACTCAATATTAAAAATACTGAGATGCACTTTACATTATACCCAGGTAATTTTCTTGGCCAATAAATTCTGTGAAATGGTTATGAGATTGTATCAGAAACAACTGGATTTTAATAATAATAGTGTAGAGTGTTATGTTTATATAGTATCTTTCATTTTGGAATCTCAAATGATTTAAATATACCTCATTAATCACCAAGGCATTCTTGGACGGAGGGAGGAGGGTGTTTTAAGCATTATTATCAACAATTAAATAATACCACGGAGATCAATCTTATCTTTTACAATATAAAGGAAGCATATTTTTTTTATCTTCAAAAGGCTTATAATGAACCAAAGAAAAAGACATTTAAATATAAATATGCCCCAAAACACACTGTCAAATATCAGTGGGATAATTAAACAAAATGAATTTGAGATTCATAGTGGAGAAACTACTCTCTTTAGAATATATTAGATTTTTGTGAAAACAGAGTCAGTAGTTTTAGGCCTCTAGGATATGATTAAGCACATTAGAACAGTGATTTAATTTATTATTGATTCAGGTGTACTTCCTGTTTCCCAGTGGTTCTGTTTTTGAAAAGTTCCTAAGAATTAAGTTTTTTATTAAAAAATAAAGACTAGGAAGATGTTATTAGCTGAATAATTCTTTTAAGGATAATTGACACTCATATGTTATATCTAATAGTATTAAATACTCTGAATTTATTCAGAAGATTTTTATATATTTTGAATTCTTAAAAGTGAGACTACATCTGCACCTTAATAACATGGAAGTGAAGTTTAATTTTCTAAAAACCCTAAAATATTCCTAGAGAATAGTTTTTAAAAAAGGAGAATCTTGATTAGCAACACACTGCAATTAGTAAAACTGGTAAGGAAATCTGCATCTGCAATATATTTTTAAGGACACTGGGTAAACACAGTTGCATGATTTTGATATTAAGTCTATGATTCTTAAATTTGAATATTAGCTAAGTTATTTATCGTAGTTCACCTTTTTGTACTGTGTGAAAATATAATTGAATCTAGAAAATATTATAATATTGGGAAATTTTCAATTTTATTACAGAAGT